TGGGTAATTAAGGACGGTCGTTGTTAGTGCCTTGTTCATCAAGTTTATTGGGGTTTGTGTTATAAAGTATTTTTGTGTTGTTATTATTGGTCGTGGTGGAATTTTCTCTTGGTAATGTGGTCGATTTGAAGGTATTTTAACTTGTCGTTCTCTCGGTCGTCTCGGCTCGAAGTGTCGTCTTAAATATCTAGTTTCGGAAGTCTATCAGTTTTCAATAGTCCATGGTGTCTATTGAATTGTCGTTGGCAGTAGTTTAGTCGTTACGGAAATATTCCTCTTGTCGTTCTTCGCTATCGTTCGACGTTTAGTGTCATTCTAGGTCGGCTGTCGCTCGCGGTCGTTGCGGTTCGCGGTCCTTCTCGTTGGGTGTCGCTGTCATTCCGGTCGTTGTAATTCGCGCTCGTTAGATGTGGCGGTGGTGGTTCGCTGAGGGGTCGTTAGCGTTAGCGGACAATTCAAGGTCATTTACAGATCTGATTTACAACCTCTGAAATCACACCCACCCATCCACAGGTACAGTTATCATTCCAGGGGTGCCGGATGATGACTTAGCATGCAGGGTAGTCAAGAATGATGACTTACTTGGCACTGTTTCATGCTGCGATTCACTCTGCCATGTTGCCATATGCTGTATACCATGTTGCTATGCACTCTTGCCATGTTCAAAGGCACTCTACCATGCTGCCATGTGCTATACTATTGCCATGCGCTATATCATGTTGCCATGCGCTATATCATGTTGCCATGCGCTATATCATGTTGCCATGCGCTATATCATGTTGCCATGCGCTATATCATGTTGCCATGCGATATACCAAGCTGCCATGCACTCTGCTAAGGTGCCATATGATCTACCATGTTGTCATGCACTATTTAATCTTGCCATGCACTGGGGAACTTATTAGTGATAATAATTATAACTAAAAATATTTTTGCTGTATTAATTTTTTGTATAAAATATTAGATAATTATTTTGTAATTTAAAATGGGATTATTATTATTGGTATTATAATTTTTATTACGAAAACTACTTTATTACTGAACGATAAATTTAATTGCAACAATAAAAAAATAATTATAAGAATTAATAACCATAATAAGAGCAAATAAAATACTAAGTAAAACAACGATAATAAAGCGAATTGAAGACACTACAAACAATAAAAAATAATTATTAGGCTCTATAATAAAGTCAACTGAATCCTTATGCACAAATGTCAGTTATTATTTAATGGGCCAAATTTAGTGGTATTGACGGGGACAGGAAGCCTTTAGTTTGTCAATTAATTCCCCGCCCCCCCAAAAAAAAATCCCAGTATTCCTGAGGATTTTTTTCTTACTGGATTTTAAGCTGGTGTTTTATTGGTATTAAAAGCTTCCTAAAAAAAGGATAGGCTGTTGAAAATGTTTGTTATGTTACGAGCTAAAAAAAAAAGCATCTCTTTTGGATCCTACATTGTGGCTTGTTGAGCTTGAAGCTGTTGCCCCTTGTGAGAGCTACAGAATGGCTTCTATATAGCAATATTGAGCCTTTTATAGAAATCCGGATTAAATATCTTTCAATTTATTCATTATTTTTTTAAAGATTCTCGGGAAGATTCGCTCTTTCATGTTTGGTCTCCAATATTCTTCGTCCCAGGACACTTGGACTTAGTTCTGGGATCATTTTTGTTGCTGTGAAGTTTATCTTCCTATCTTCCAGACACATGACACATGACACAGGTAGGGGTCAGTCTGGGGGGGTCCAGCGATGTATACACTGTCTAGGATTATATCTGGTGTCAGACCGAGGTGTGTCAAGAATGGTGTGTCATCTTGAAGATCTTTCGGGTAAATCACCCGTAGATTAAGTTGAGAATTTGTGGTATGTTTAAGAAGTCATTTATAAGGTTGATACCTGCTTGATGGGGTTCTGGGAGTTCTTCTACTCCCCAAGCCCGGCCCGAGGCCATGCTTGACTTGTGAGAGCTTGGTCCACCAGGCTATTGCTTGGAGCGGCCCGCAGGCCCACATACCCACCACAGCCCGGTTGGCGAAGGAAGGAATTATCAGAGGAAAGCGTCAAACCATTACGACTGTATAACACTTAGAAAGGGGTCAGGATAAGGATTTGGGATGGGACGGGGGGATAAGGAATGGTGCCCAACCACTTGGTGGACGGTCGGGGGATTGAACGCCGACCTGCATGAAGTGAGATCGTCGCTCTACCGTCCAGCCCAAGTGGTTGTAAGGTTAAAGAAGTGATAATGGGGTTTTTAACATTTGTTTATTAAATCTGTTTTCTGTTTCTGTGCTGTCACACACACACTCTCTCTCTCTCTCTCTCTCTCTCTCTCTCTCTCTCTCTCTCTCTCTCTCTCTCTCTCGGAGTAGTCCGGGGTTTTAATTGATTCCCCTTTCCCCTCCCCCCCCCACCGGGAGTGGCAAGCGATCCGCGGTGATCGTCATCAATTAACGCAACTTCCGTTGGCAGCGAGCGTGTCGCCTTACTGCCGCGACCGACGCGTTCAAGCCCTCCTGCCACCGATTCGCCGCGCCGACCCCGGGACGCCGTTCGTAGCCCGCCAACATCCCCCCCCCCAACCCCACCAACCACCCTGGTTCTTCATACACTCAGGTCTCTTTATTACCACTCCGTAAAAAAAAAAAATGGTTTTGCCTTGTCAGAAACGTCAGATAATCTTCAGGGCAATAATACGTCAATATTGCGGTGTTTTTCCTTAAAATCCCTTAAGATTTTAAGGGAAATTTAATCACTTAAAATTTCCTTAAATCCCTTAAGATATTTTTACGCTTTGGCCCAATACGTGCAAAATCCGGCGTATTACGTAACTTTTCTGGACTGTTTACTTGCTAGTTTATGTGTAATTGGCTTGTTTAGCAATTTGTTCACATTGTGTTGCATAGCTTACAAGGGGGGGGGGGCTCTGTAGTTCAGTGGGCTACCTTCTCGACTCACAACCGAGGATCGAAAGTTCGATTCTCTGGCGGGGCATAAACATTGGGGTCAAGTTTCCTTTCACCTAATGCCTATGTTTACCTAGCAGTAAATAGCTGTCCAGGAATTAGGCAACAATTTTGTGTTGTTGTATCCTTAGGTAGGCCATATTTATATATATATATATATATATATATATATATATATATATATATATATATATATATATATATATATATATATATATATGTACACACCGTCCGACCTCTTATGTACGTTTTCTACACGATACACAGAGGGAGAGACTACACCAAACCACATATTAAGACTCTCTTAAGAGGGGATTCAACATTGCATATCCCCCCTTCCCCCTCCTCCCCCCCACACTCATCGCATCCCAGATCAGTCCCCCCCACCCCCCCTTCCTTTCCTTGCGACATCGATCTCCCAATGAACAAATCCACAAGGGCCGTGACGAGGATTCGAACCTGCGTCCCAAGCCGTACACACGCGAACGATTCCGCACGCCTGTCGTACGACCAAGTAGCTGTTTGGTCTGGGATAAACGCGGCATTAACATCTACAAAGATTGTGAATAGCAATCAAAGACATTAACGGGGCTATTCATGCCCGTGCCACCTCTTGGACGGCTTAATCTTCATCAATCAATCAATCATCAATGAGATACGAGGTCGTTCGTTATCAATATGCGTTACTGAGGACATCTTAATATCCCCCCCCCAAAAAAAAATAAAAACAATAAAACACCCTCTAAGGATAGCGAAATGCTTCCTGTGTTGATTTTTTTGGAAATAAATCTCCTTTTGGACACTGCTATGATTGCAAAGCACTTGACTGTGCGATTTCAGTGCCTGTGAGTTTATATATATCGCCGGAGGGTTTGTTATATGTGGAAATATCGTATATCGTATATCGTCAGAGCGATATACGATGGGTCTCACCGCTTGAGCGGTTGTGGCAACAGTGGGCCCACGCAGATGAGCATTACTAATCGGAATGAGTTTGATATGGGTTTTGAGGGTAACCGCTTAAGTGGACTGTGAGAGGAGGGGAGGTGGCGCTTAAGTGCTTGGGTTGGAGGAAGGGGGGGAGGGGTGACTTTATGACTGTGGAGGGGAAAGGCTGTGACCCAGGGGGGTGGGGGAAGAGACGCTTGAGTGGTAGAATGAGATTGGAGGGTGACACTCAAGTGATAGAGGGGATGAAGTGAAAGGGTATCCTTCAAGGGTATACAGGCCCGTCCTCCTAAGGTTTACCAACGTCAATAAATCGGTCAATGTAAAGTGCCCCCTTATCCTAACCGTGGATAAGGGGGGTTCTCCCTTATCCCATTTTCCGTGGTTCCGGTTTATGGATTAAGCACGCGCTATTTGGGCCTAAATAGGCTTTTATTATTTCTGTTAGTGTATATTTATGTGGTTGACTCTTCCTCCTGTTGTTGCATTATGCTGTTGCTGTAGTGCCCTGGTGATGTATTTTCCTGTTGTTGTATTATGCTGTTGCTGTAGTACCCTGTTGATGTATTTTCCTGTTACTACATTTTCCTGTCACTCTGGACTTGTCATTCATATGTTCACCTCACATAGAATTGCATTAAAAAATTTAATTACTAATTTACGATGTATTTTTCATCGTTAATTTTGTTTGAATTTCGCCGTATAGGTGCAACTAAAAAAAAAAACTCCCTCCCTTTAGGGTAAAGGGAAGGAGTCCTTCTTTCCCCTGGGTGGGTAAGGGAAAGGGTCCTCCCTTTCCCTAGGAGAGGGCAAAGGGAACGAGTTAACGTAGTTTGGACATATTAATACTGATTATTTGAAGTCGGTGTCAATTGGTCTCAGAAAACGATGAAGAAATCTGTGAGTGTGTGAGGTCACTCATGAGGGGGTAGGGGGGGTAGCATGAGTAAAAAAAGGTATAAGTAATGCATGTGTGAGTGTGTGAGTGAGCTGAATACATATGAGGTGGTAGGAGATTAATATATATAAGCCTGTCCTCTCATTTGAGTCTTATATTAACGGATTGTGTTTTCCTCCTCCCACAGAAAACGGCGAAGGGTGCGCTGACGGCTCTGTACCTCCACCTTGCAAGAAACAACGGAAGGCCCGGACGGCGTTCTCAGACAACCAGTTACAGACGCTGGAGAAGAGTTTCGAGCGGCAGAAGTACCTAAGTGTCCAGGACCGCATGGAACTGGCCGCCAAGCTGAACCTGACCGACACCCAAGTCAAGACCTGGTACCAGAACAGACGGTAAGTGATCCCTTCACACGTGAAACCAATCAGGTTTTTTCAGTGCCTTCAGCAAATAATTATTGAAATATCTATTAATATCTATTCAATATCTATTCAATAACTATTAAATATCTATTCAATGGCTATTAATATCTCTTTAATAGCTATTAAATATCTATTCAATGTCTATTCAATATCTATTACCATGTTAGTCGTACTGACCTATTAACTCTATTGGTAACTCTTATTTTTCGTGACCTGTCGTGACCTGTCGTGTCCCTCCCCATTACAGGACGAAGTGGAAGCGACAGACGGCGGTCGGGCTCGAGCTCTTGGCCGAGGCTGGCAACTACGCCGCCGTGCAGAGGATTTACAGCGCGCCGTACGGATGGCCCTACCCGCCGCAGCCGTCCTCTGCCGCAGCCGCAGCCGCTGCCGCCGCCGCCGCTCTCAGCCCCGCCGCAGCCTCCGTCGACCTGTACTACCGCCAAGCCGCAGCTGCCGCAGCCTTACAGAAGCCCCTGGCCTACCGCCTGTACCCGCCCGGCCTGCCTATCCTGCCGCCAATGCACTCAGACCCGCTCAGAGATGCACTCAGACCCGAAGCCCTGAGACCAGAGACCATAAGACCCGAAGCCCTGAGACCGGAGCTGCGGCACGATGCTCTCAGACACGAAATGCTGCGACAAGAGACGTTGCGACCCGAAGCGCTTCGGCCGGATGTCCTGCGCTCTCTCGCATCCTCCATGGCGGGCGGATCTCCTCTGGTGGGATCTGCTCTCACCGTGACGGCTTCTCTCCCTTCCTCGCCTCTCACCTCTCCCCTCTCCTCCTCCTCTCCCTCTCCCCTCACAGCGCCGTCCTACTATCGCTCAGAGGCCGCATCGCAGGTCTAAAGACCTATCCATCCCCCCCTGTCCTGTCTCTCTAATCAGCGTCTCTCTATCTCTCTCATTCCCATCCTCATCATCTCCATTATCCTCACCTCTCACCGTCGTCTCATATTTCTCATCGCTCCTCATCACAAGCTCTCGCGAGGGGCTTGTAAATCCTCTAAATTAATCCCAGTGCTCAGTGTAAATAGGACTGTATATAGGAAGTATTATAAACCATAGTGGTGTTTTGTTTTTTTTAATTGTGTGGATACGGCTGTCATCTCGGGGGCTAGGATTGACCTACCTACGTTCCTATGTAAACCAGATCCTTCACAGACCCGACACACTCACAGTGAATCATTTCCATTGCCAACTATTCTACTTCAGTTTAGTTGGCTTCCCCTTCAATGTCTATCCATCCACAATTCCATCCATGTCGCCCAATTAACTCGGTCTTTCCCTCCATTTGATGGAGTGTTGAGTGCATCCCAGATATTCACTCACTCAACCGCCAAGAGTGTACTTGAGTGTGCTCCAGTCACACGCGATTGTGACCATCGGTTACGGCCGTTTGGGAGAGTGCACTTGAGTTGACGCACTCAAGATGGCGTGACCAGAAACACACACACACACACACACACACACACACACACACACACACACACACACACACACACACACACACACACACACACACACAGGAACTCCATTTTCGCTAAGTCTTTGTAAATCTAGGACCTGATCCTAGTGTTATTTTTCCACGTTTCATCTGTAAAATTTATTGTACAAAGTTATTGGCCATTACATGTGATATTACAATTTAGTTTTCACAGCACATTTACAATATGTAAATAGGTAATTTAATTCGATTTACAAATAGCAGGTAGACACATTTAGAAAGTTTGTTTACAACTATGCATAAGGCAGTGGCGATCAGAACTTGCTATAGACTGACAAACACTCTGAAGATTATGTATTTTGATGTAAAACTATCAATAAAAATATTATTAGATTGTTTATGTTTTTATCAATCATGTGCAAATTATTTTTGTTAAATTAAAAATCTAAAAGAAGTGCACTAAAAAGGCAAAAAAAAAAAAAAAAAATAGAAATTAAAACAAATTGTTAAATTAAATTAATAAATATAATAAAATAAATATTAAATATAGATATATGGATATTATTATTGTTATGTATAGTTATATCTATCAAATGATTTTATAGTTTCCAAAATATCTATATTGACAAAAATACTGATATAAATTTAACATTAACTAAAGGTAATGAAGAATTTTAACATTGAGTTTAGACAAATTATCTGATAAATTATCGGATAATTTATTATCTGATAAATTATTTGTTAATGTAAACTGTTTTGAAGGCGAAGGAGGAAGTTGTAGACTACCTGGAGTATACCTGTAGAAGGTTTTAAGTGTTCTACTCTACAAGCCCGTCCCGGGGGGCTTGGGTTGACTTGTAATAACTAGGGCCAACGATGTGTTTGGAGCGGCCCTCAGGCCCACTACATATCCACTACAACCTGATTGGTCCAGACCTTACTGTAGGAAGGTGTCTATTTATTGTTTTCTTAAAGAAACTAACTTTTAAAATTTGTAAATGAAGTTGGTAGAAAATGCCGAGAAAGGTAAGTTTTTTACATCTGAAGGAATTGTACAAGGTGATTGTGTGTGTGTGAGTGTGTGTGTGTGTGTGTGTGTGTGTGTGTGTGTGTGTGTGTGTGTGTGTGTGTGTGTGTGTGTGTACTCACCTAGTTGTGCTTGCAAGGGTTGTTGAACTCTGGCTCTTTGGTCCCGCCTCTCAACTGTCAATCAACTGGTGTACAGATTCCTGAGCCTACTGGGCTCTATCATATCTGCACTTGAAACTGTGTATGGAATCACCCTCCACCACATCACTTCCTAATGCATTCCATTTGTCTACTACTCTGACACTGAAAATTTCTTTCTATAATCTCTATGGCTGATTTGGGCACTCAATTTCAAGTTGTGTGTGGGTGCTCGCGCGCGTGTGTGTGTGTGTGCGTGCGCTCCTCTTTCCGCCCTTCCCCCAAACTAATTTCTCACTTCACTATGCCCTCTTTGTCCTACTCTGCCATTCTCTGCCCAAACTTGTGTCATATCAACTCTACAAAGGAGCATAAATAAACAATTCTTCATCTCTCTATCGCGCTGCACAACTTTCTGTCTCTCAAGACCTTATAAAGAAAACAACAGCGAGAGGAAAGGGCTATATTGACTTTCTCGTCCCAGCCAAGATTCCATGGCGTGTGCTACATTTATAGCAATATATATATATATATTTCTATAAAGAGTGTGGAGTCTCCCTCCACTGCTGCACCTCTCCTCTATTTCAAGTAATTTCTTTACTAACTTGACACCGAAACTTTGTGACTTTTGGAATACCTCTCTGCGAATGTGCCTTTCTCGGTCTATCTTGACGATCACTTTGAGTATTTTGTGTGTCGTGACCATGTCTTACCTGCCTCTCCTCCAGCGATGTGATTTTTTGTACAGTTTTGTCAACGCTGATGACGATACCAGACATCTCAAGTGACAGGTCTGGTGAGATGTCTATTGACTTTCGATATCTGGAGTATTTTGTCTTTCATAATGATATCTTGTGTTCCGTTTTCTTCTCCATGCACGTACTCACCTAGTTGTGCTTGCGGGGGTTGAGCTCTGAGTCTTTGGTCCCGCCTCTCAACTGTCAATCAACAGGTCAATCAATATGTGTGTGTGTGTGTGCGTGTGTTTGTGACAGATGAACATATGAAGTAGATACGATAAAAAAAAATAGCTTCTGGCGTCAGTGCATTAGATAGACGGTTTAAAAGGAGGTGAGGGACATGAGCTAACATCTCGATCCTGAAGTAACAAATAGTAAATACCAAGAGTGCCCCCCCCCCAAAAAAAATATATATGTATATATATATTAATATATGTATTAATAAAAATTTCTTTTCTTTTTTAAGTTTTGCGTAACTGAAATTTACAAACATTTCAACGACAAACGTTCAGCTCAGAAAGGAAGATCAACTCCTCTATATGGCGGCTGGAGGTAGAATTAGACTTCAAATAAAGCCTATTACGATGCTCTTCCATTCGGAAATCACTTTTGAGTCTTATATTGGTGTGTGTTGACCAAACCACACACTAGAAGGTGAAGGTACGACGACGTTTCGGTCCATCCTGGACCATTCTCCACAATCGACTTGAGAATGGTCCAGGACGGACCGAAACGTCGTCGTCCCTTCACCTTCTAGTGTGTGGTCTGGTCAACATATTTCAGCCACGTTATTGTGACAATTCGCTTGTTTATATTGGTGTCAAACGATTGTTTATGATCCCAAGGGAACAATATCTGAGAGCAACGTATATATATATATATATATATATATATATATATATATATATATATATATATATATATGTCGTACCTAGTAGCCAGAACGCACTTCTCAGCCTACTATGCAAGGCCTGATTTGCCTAATAAGCCAAGTTTTCATGAATTAATGTTTTTTCGACTACCTAACCTAACCTAACCTAACCTACCTAACCTAACCTAACCTATAAAGATAGGTTAGGTTAGGGAGGGTTGGTTAGGGTCGGTCATATATCTACGGTAATTTTAACTCCAATAAAAAAAATTTACCTCATTCATAATGAAATGGGTCGCTTTATCATTTCATAAGAAAAAAAATTAAGAAAATATATTAATTCAGGAAAACTTGGCTTATTAGGCAAATCGGGCCTTGCATAGTAGGCTGAGAAGTGCGTTCTGGCTACTAGGTACGACATATATATATATATATATATATATATATATATATATATATATATATATTATATATATATATATATATATATAAAGTTACCACATCTGGTGCAATTGTGGGGACCCATAACCTCGGAGAAGGGAACACAGAGCATTCAGAAAAAAAACTTGCCATTTTAATCTTAATACGTATGAGTGTTCACTTCACCTACCACCCCCCTTTTTATTATTTATGTTGTACGCTTTATTATACAAAGTTACACACAGCTACATATCTGATTGGTTACAAAAAGTGGACATTAAGAGGAAATATGGGGAAGTTTGTTTCGTAGAGGTTGTATATTTCTTCGAACTCCTCTATATATATATATATATATATATATATATATATATATATATATATATATATATATATATATATATATATATATATATATATATATATATATATCCCAAAACACGTCTCGTCTCCTTCGTAACATCTTTACATAAATAAGGAGATGTCTTCATCTTTCTTATTTCAAATCGAAATGTCAGGAAATCAAAATTTATGTCTCTGAATCGAGCAAACTTTAAACAATGTACTTTAAACAATGTCAAATGGATTTGTTTTTGGCTAAGATGTGCATCTGTTTGACTGTGGTGATGAAGACGACGGAAATAGTGAAAATGATAGTGATAAATAATAGTGATATGAAAATTCATACATTATAAATATACATATAGTTAACAATTTATTATTTTTTTAATTTCTTAAAAACATATTGTAACACAATCTTTGTTCTTGATTGTTAATGCCTCCAAGGTATTGAAAGTGGCTATTATACACCACACCGACGCCTCAAGAAAATAAAAGATCTGACAGCGTTTTGGGTCCGTCTCGGACCATTATCGAGTCGGGTGTTAATTGTGCTTCAATGCCTGTAAGATGGTTATTATTTCCCCTCAAACTTTGCTTTGACCTTTGTCTAAGACGGCTTGAAGGTACCTTGAAGGCTGTTGACAACATACCTGTGTTGACCCATTGTGACTTAGGTCTGCGGGCTGTAGGTACTCACAGGTAAGTTTCAGGTACTCTGTCTTAGTCAAAGGTCAAAGGAAAACTTTCAGGGTGAATAATTGCTATTTTATATACGTTGAAGGCCAAAGAAAAAATAAATTAACTTTACCCAATAGAAAAATATTTTAATTTCTTATCCTCAACCACTTGGGCTGGACGGTAGAGCGACGGTCTCATTTCATGCACGTCGGCGTTCAATCCCCGAATGTCCACTAAGTGGTTGGGCACCATTCCTTTTCCTCCCGTCCCATCCCAAATCCTTATCCTGACCCCTTCCCAGTGCTATATAGTCGTAATGGCATGGCGCTTTCCCCCCTGATAACTCTAAGCTGATATACTACTAATACTAGCCACAATACTAAGCTGATATTACTGCTGGTAATAATGATGAATTCAATATACTCAAATACTCAGTCAAATTAGTTGTAATTCAATCAGTAACTGACCATTAGTGAATACAACAAATCGAAATTAATTTAAAGCTTTGTATGAGGAAAGACGGAGAACTATATTGGAAAAAAACACACAGAATATTGCCTTCTTCCTTCACAAGTACTTGGGCCAAATTACCCTCAAATTAGCGACACGTGTAAGAGAACCAACAATGGTTTAGAGGGAGAGTAAGAAGCAGACGCTTCCGCCATCTGTTGAGAAAACCGTCAACTACACCTCCGCAGTTGCCACTCTGGACCAAATTAGCCAATTTAGTTTTATTTCACTGATAGGAAGATATCATACTTATATTAATACCATTTTAAATAGTGTAACATAAACATCATTGAGAAGTGCTTTTGAGCCCGCATCATTGAGAATCAGAGTGATGTGGAAATACCAAAACACAATTGGAAAAATTGGAACAAATCTGAAGATTTGGAATCCTTTCGAGGGGAATTAATATGGCGCGCATGCGCTAGAGGACTAAGGGGAGGAGCCATAGAGGGGAAAGTAGAGGGAACATCGACCAGAAACGTATCTTGAGATCTTCAAGAGGTGGTCCTCTAACCTGCTCCCTGAGAAGTTCTACTTTGGGAGAGACTGAGGGAGACGTCCTCCTCGAGTTATCAAACAGGAGGTGATCCTTGGAAAAAACAACTTTCTGTTTCTCTTGCGAAAAGGAGGATGGGATTCAATGCGTTACTTATAAGACGTCATCTGAAA